AGGACACACAATTCAAGACTGGGAGCCTATGTTTGGCACTGGTCTACTTCTTTTTTTCTTGTACAATATGCCCGTTTCTTTTAAAAAAACAAAACAAAACAAAACACTTTTATAGCTACTGTTTTCTTTCTTTTTTGTAACCATAGACACTCCCACGTAGCACCAGCTCAGTTCCAGCCAAGCTGCGTGCATTTTTAAATAAAGAAAACAGGTCTTCTAGTTCTGTGTTAGCAAAGTCACCTCCTTTACTGCCAGTGCTAATGCTCAACATGTAATAATACTTTATTGTCATGAGCAGGAATCTGCTTTGCTAATTAAATGCAGCTGTCAGTAATTACTACTTGTCAGTGTAATCTATTTTAGGGAGCTCTACTTTAAATAATAAAAGATGGGCCTGATATTGAGAGGGTGGGATAGGCAAGGTGACCGCTTACTTCCCCATCAGAAGCTCATTCTTTTTTCTTTCTTTTTTTAAATGATGAATGAGGGACTTCACTGTGAAGATGTCTTACCTGGGTTATTCTGTATTTCTTTAGTGCCTGAGTGCTAAAAGTTTGCAGTTAAATAGTTTGTAAAATATATCTGTAATCTAAATGTCACCCCCCTTTTGTAATACCAATCAGGGCGGCGACTCTCACAGTCAGTGCATCGTGATGGTAATCTGTAGGAAAAGCATCATGGTGAAGTCACTACAATCTCTACCATCAAATGCTGAGTTCAGTCTAAATGCACCTTCTAATTGCTCACAAACTGGATTAGACACGGAACATCACTTTGACAAATGGGGAGGGGGGTTAAGTAACTGTTTCTTGTATGCATTTTTCACTGATATCCGACCAGGTTTTTTCTAAGAAAATGCTTAGCATTCAGTTTAGGTCTTTGAAATGTGTAAATTTAAAAAATCATGATGTTTGCTTCTAATACTAATTTATCTTAACGGACTCCGAAATGAACCTCCAACTCCTTAATAGCTCTACAGCTGCGTGACTAAAAGCAATGTCAGGGCAAGGGTAATGATGGCAGGCTGCTCTGCTCCGCGGGATAGGTGCTGGGGTGCCACAGATGCTGGCAGAATCCAGGGTCTAAGGGGAGCAGACCTTTGCCCTCACCTCCCCTGACATTTAAAATGAAAGTGGTGGCAGTGTGTGGGGGTGGGGGGCACTGGAGTCTCCAGGGGTGAAGTGATGGGGTGGCGGAAGGATCAATGGGGGGAAAATAAGCACAGCAGGGGGGATAAGGGAGGCTTGGCACACGCTTGGCTTTACCCACACAGGCCAGAGAGACTTATCACACCGCTCACAGCACCCTGACTGCCTCATCCTTCTTCTCCCACCATCTGGTTTATATCCAACACTCCAATAGTCCTCGTGTTGCTAGATAATTAATTATCTTGTTATAGGCCCCAACAAGTTTGGCAGCTACTCTTCTGAATGCAGCACATTTAAATAGAATTAATAATTTGGGTGTTCGTCCCAGGTGAAGGGGGAAAAAAAAGCTTTCCAGATGGAAAATAATTTTAAAAACACCTACCTAAATGTATTTTTCAAATATAGTCAGCAAAACACGCCAACACATTCCTTTTCCAGGTAAGCCTCCATTGGGGAAGGGATGCATAGTCCAGTGGGAATGGTATACATTCTCCCTTTTCCATAATATAAATTCTGATCTCCTTTACTGAGAAAATGGGGGTTATTCCAGATAGTTCTAAAAAGTAAATAAATAAAAAGTCCAAGTGATGAGCAACTCAGGCAAAGAAAGAACCCATTGAATAGCCATTGAGCTCCTTAAAAAGTAGGGTTTATTCAAAGGGAAAACCCAAGAATATACACATGGATAGTTGTGAAAGTTTTTTACTTTTATGGGTTCTAACAACCACAATGTCAGTGCATCCCTAAATCACCCATTTTAGGCCGAACTCAGGCTTTTCCATCAGCTGATCGTTTTCCTGGAATATAGTAGGTGTTCAATGAATAATTGCTGAATGTATGAGTAATGATTTTGAACACTGTCATGATATGGTTTCTTGCTGCCCACTCCAGCTGGTTGAAGTTGGTATTACTTGGTGGCAAGAGTTTAACAGCAGGGCCAAAGGTATGGTTATTATTTAAATACTATATTAAATGTATTAATGTTTTTAGAAATAGTGCACTATATTTTGTATATTGTTTTTAAGTAATAATATATTTTCATTTTTGAAAATAATTTTTATTTTTTTGTATATAGAGTCATTCACCAGGGAATGACAACACATATTTTAAAAATGCTGGCTTTTAAATATTAATTAACAGGCCATTTCCATTTCTTTTGTACTAGATAAGATTTTTAATATGATTATCATATGTTATTAGCAATTTTGTGTGTGTGTAAGTTTATTGAGTTTTCCAATGTGGTGATGGTGAAATAATTTCGTTGCATTTTTACTTCAAATCTTAAAAGAGAAAAACTGATTTTTATATCACTATAAGCAGATACTCATAATTGGTTGGATATGTTTCCTGCTTTATAGGGGCGAAGTCAGCTTAAATAGGTAATATGATTGTTAGATATATTTAAAATAATTTGAATAGAAGAAAAACTCAAAATGAGCACATGGACTTTTATGGAACTTTCTGATGCTTTCTGAGTCTTGCAGGTAGAAAAAAAAACAACTACCTAGTTCCCTATGGACCATTATTAGAGAAATGGAGACTTGAATCTACTCTTAAAAATTAAAGTCTTCCTAGATGGATGCTTACTATGGATACTTAGAAGACTGGAGAAGAGGGGAGATGGGGAATGAAGGGTGGGAAGCAAGTTCTCCCCAATCACTGGCAGAACTAGGTCTTCTCCCTCATGCTCTGTGCTCACACCAGCTTCTCTCCACCATCTAGTACGCTGAACACTACCTGTTCCTTTACCAGCTGGCTTTGCTCTCGAGCTTGTAAGTTTCTTGAGGGCAAGAACAAAGCCATTTATATCCTCAACACACTTCCGGGTACACAGCAGTTGCTCAGTAGTGTTTACTGAAATAAATAAGTCAGCAAGAAAAAGGCAGATAAACATTAGCGACACAGAAGGGAGAATACGATGATTATTTACTTCTCCAATAGAACTGTATTTAGTACTTCCTCTATTCCAGACACTATGCTAGGCAATGAGGATATTGACAGTGGTGTGGGTCGCGGTTGGTGGGCTACAAAGGGAAGGTGTAAGAAAACAGAGAGAAGTGAGGAGGAAGAGAAGTTAGACAAGCAGAGAGCACTTTCGGCAGAGGGCCAGCGTGTGCAAAGGCGTGGAAGTACGAAATAGCATGCTCTGTTCCTTGCTTGGCATCTACCAAACGTATGCACTTTGTGCTGGAGCGACCGGAGATGAGTCCCAGGCTGGGCCATTGGAACAATAATGGCTTTGAAGGTTGAGGTAGTTTAAATTTTACCTGGAGGGCAAAGGGTGCCGCAGGCTATTAAGCAGGGACGTTACATGAGGAGGTTGGCGGCCTTTGGGAAGAGTTTCAGAAGCACTGAAGACATTGGAGACCCGAAGCTAGAAGGAGGCCAGTGCCATCGGGTGAGTTCTGACGACCTGAGCTTCAGCAGTAGCAATGGGTTGGTGGGAAGGGAGGTGATAGGAGGCAGGGATTTCGTGTCTTGGTGCCAGACTAGAGGAGCAGAAGGAGAAATACAAGATGGCCCATAGGTACCTGTGTCCCTACTATGATCCTTGTAACTACATATTCTTGGTTGCTCACTTTTCTTGGGTGTATGGACAGATGATGTTGCCAATACAGAATAGCAAAATAACATAAACTATTTGAAAAGAGGTAACATTAGAAAAGTAATAATGCATAAAAATTCTCAAGCCCTTGATCTTATTTTGGTAAGTACAGAGTTGAGAGTTCCTTATTAAAAGGATGCCAGTGTTTATGGAATTCAGAAACTCCTAAACTAAATGCTGTTAAGTAAAACTTGTCTAGTCAGTGGACCAAGTTTGAGAATAAGATAAATACCTGATTAAGAAAAAAATAATTCCATCTGTAGAAAATCAGGCAATCATAATTATAGCTAATATTTATCATTTTATGATGTGCCAGGTACTGCTACCAGGACAATGGGAATAATGTTCTTGACTTTAAAGCGTCAGTTATCAGGATTAAGTGGTCACTGCACATCTAGTCACACTTTGGGAACAGAGGACTAAAATAAATGTGAAATAAAAATACTGGAATGAAACAAAGTATTCCTACTAGCTAGCAATCCATGTGCTGGCCCACCATCTCCTCATACACCCTCATCTGTCCTGTTTTCTGCCTCCACCTCCTCCTGACATCCCCGCTGCGGAATCCCTCAGCTCTCGGCTGTCCAGACGGAGATGTCCACAGGAAGAAACTCTGTGTCTGCCCCATGATACCACACGCCACAGTACCAGGAAATAAAGGCGACAGGACAAACTAACATAGAGGAACATTAGTTTCTAAGCTTTCCAAGTCTGCAAAGTGAGGATAGCTGGGTGGCTACCAGAATTAAATGTTATCCCCCAAAAAAACCCCAAAAAACTAAGAATAAAGTTAAATTTAACCTTTTAAATCAGGTTACTCAAATTTAATTACCAGAGTTAGGAAATAGATTGTTCCTTGAAGCCATGCATTCTATGTGGTATAAAAATATAAAAGAGCCCGGCTGGTGTGACTCAGTGGATTGAGCATTGTCCCATGTACCAAGAGGTCACCAAATTGATTCCTGGTCAGGGCACATGTCCAGCTTATGGACTCGCTCCCCAGTAGGGGGCGTGCAGGAGGCAGCCAATCAGTGTTTCTTGCTCATCAATGCTCTCTCTCTCTCTCTCACTCTCTCTCTCTCTCCCCCCACCCCACCCTCTCCCTTCCCCTTCATCTCTATCTAAAAAAGTCCATAAAATATATATATACTAGTACATGAGAAAGAAATTTTTATGTATCCTAATACTTCAACCAACTCATATTAGTTATATAGATAAATATAAATGTTTCAATGCTTTTAGCAAACCTTTTGTTCTTCCCCAGTAGTCATATCTGTATAAGATGATACATCTTCCAAAGACTTGTGTGAGCATGTTCAGCTGGGCCCTGCAAGGAAAAATTGTGACGTGGCTGCCGCAAACGTCTCCTCTCAACTTCTGAGCTTGACACGGGCCTTTAAATCCAGTAACACCTGAGTCAAGCTTAAGTCTGTAACATGTATTTCTTCTCTTCGTATCTTTCCCTTAACAGTCAGAGAATCCACAGAACATATGCTTTATAATGGAGTACAACCAATTCTCATAGATAGAAGGTAGCTAGGTCTTATTTATGGCGAGGCACATTAAGAATTACTGTGATGTTTTTCATTGACTTGAATTAGCTATGGCAAAGAGCATTACAGTGGCATTTTCATATGTTCAAAAAAAGTTCCCCAAACTATACTCAAATAGTATATGGTTAATATTTATGACAACACAGTTATGCTACTTAATTGGCAGTGTAAGGATTCTGTTATTCAGTGTTAATTATATCTTATGTGCCATTTTAAAATAAAACGTACAATTACACAGGTTTCCTTTTGCCGACTTCTAAACTTAAACATTTTAATCAGTTGATTATTTCATCATTTTTCTACCTCAGGTCCTTCACTCTCATGAAGATTATTATTATTCCACAGGGTTTCATATATAGTAATGTCCTAAGACCCTCATGAAGAGGGAAAAATTCTATTCAATATTAAATCACAATCTTAAAACTATGCAATTATAAAGACAATTAAAGTTTCTTGACCTCTGGAGTAGCAACTTCTAGAATACTTCCTTTCAGGGCATGCAGTAAACATTAATTGGATGCCTGCTGTATGCCATGTGGGTCAGAGCAGAATCAGTCTCATTTCACACTTTCATATACAACTTTGCTGGTCCTTTTGACAAGTACCATAGCGTAACATGTAACATTGACTTCTGTGCAAGAAGTTCACCTTATAAGGATATTATGGGAAGCATAAAACATCCAGTACCAGAACCTCTGAGCTATCAAAACTACTTAAATATGGCATCAGTTCTTAAGTTACCTAATTTAAAAGTAGATGAATCTCAGAAAATTATTGAGTCCATTAAAAACCACATTAAGTTATAGCACTGTTCTAGTACCGCTCTAGTTCAGGTTATGTTGGGCTTCGTGACAATCGCCTTCCTTAGGAATTCCCTAAGAATTCATTCTGAGTGCCTGGCTGGCATGGCTTAGTGGTTGAACTGGGAGGTTACGTGTTCGATTCCTGGTCAGGAAACATGCTCATGTTGTGGGCTCCATCCCCACTGTGGGGCATGCAGGAGGCAGCTGATCAATGATTCTCCCTCAGCATTGATGATGTTTCTATCTCCCTCTCCCTTCCTCTCAGAAATCAGTAAAAATACGTTAAAAAAAAGAATTCACTCTGAAAACCATCACAAATCTCAGTTACTAGAATACATTTGCTTTACAACTTAACTCACTCCACACTTGGACCCTTATTTAAGTAAACTTTAAAAGTGCCTGTTGAAGAGCAGTGGCATAGCTTAGTGGGCTGTCTGGGCTCTAAGGGCAGCTCTGTTGTTTCTTAGCTGTGGAGGCGAGCCATTTATTTAGGCTCACTTTCCTCATCTAAACAGGGATAATAATAGTACCGACTTACTTCCTCTCGTGAAGTGGGGGCTAGCACGGTGGCTACCAGAATTAAACTAGTTAATATTAGCAGAATTCTTTAGACAGTATCAGGCACACATTAAAGGTTATCATATGGGTTTCTTAAATAAGTTGTTCAAAAAAGTTTAGTATAGTCTCAATGTTTAATATCAAACGAGTTGAGCATTTGTAAGTACTATTATTTGATGACACTGACTTCACAAATCACATAAGCCACAAAAGAGACTCTCTTCCTATTCGTCAAAGTTATCAGACAAATACAGATATAGACATATAAACATAAATAAATACATAAACATTATCTTCTATATGTATAAGCATATGTATATACATACACAACATATCTGACTCCCATGCAAAATCTAGGTAAAGTGGTCTACAGTCAAACCAACTAGTCAACCATTTCTTAGTACTAACAGCTTTCTTTCATAGTTTTCAAGAAGATAGAAAATAATCTATTGTACCACATATTAATTAAATAAGACATGAATAATGGAACTTGCATATTAGATTCAGAGATGTTCATTTATCCTGCCTAAACATTATGTGGATCTTCAGGTATCTTTTGCTTCTACTTTTGATAAGTTGTTAGCTGCTCTGAAATGTTTTTGAGTAGATTAGTGATGCTTATGTGTACTTAATAATATCGTCCTTTAATTGTACTTTTGCTATAAAGGTAAGGATAACATCATGACTCAGGAACAAAAACTGATCTACAGTGAGAAAAACATTTCAATAATTAAATTGGATTCTAGGAAAAAAAACTTTTGCTGGTTTTAAAAACTCATTAAATTCACAGAAAAAAAGTAAAATGTAGGGTTTCTCTAAATAGTGATGATTTAGGTCATAATGAAAGTTTAACTAGTTATTTTGGTTTTGAGATCTCCCTTCAAAGACAGGACTTAGATGAAGATAAATCTGTGACTTGAATAATTATTCCCTTAACTCGAGTTATTCTCTTTTCAAACTTTTACCTTTTCTTAAAGCAAAACTAACTATAATTCCATTACTAAACTATAACTCCTCATGCAATTGCAATAATGTCAGAATATGAAAATATTTGAAAAAAGTGTTTAAAAATTCAAAAACATATGCATATAAAGACCAATAAAATATATAAGAATTCATTTCATTTCAATCACACAAACCTAGCATTACTGCTCGTACTCTATTCCCAGAGTTTTCAGCATCATTTTTTAGCAAGCATTCCTCTTCTGCCAGCTCCCTTAACTAGGAAGTTACCTTGAAAGTTATTTCATTCATGAATAAAAGTCTCTAAAATGAAAGACCATCCGGCTAGACATATCAAAAGAGTCAAGGAAAATTCTCCTCAACTAAAATTTCCATAAGATATTTCCATTTGTCTAGAAAATCCTAAATAACCATTTTTGTTAACTTGATGATTTACATAGTAGAATTGCACTTTTAAGGGATGTTACTGTTTCCAAGATTATAAAGAGATAAGAAAAGGAGCAAAATGTTTGTTGTTTCCTGTGAATTTGAGTTTGCTTTTTTAACGTAACAGAAATATTTGCATTTACTCATAAATGAATACTGCTGACATATACAGATCGGGCACTGTTCCATAGAAGTCAGACACAGAGAGTAGAGCAATGCACAGATAGTTATATTTCTCCAGAGTATTCAGACAAAGAGCAAGAAGATTAAAGTCAATATGAGTTCTCTGAAGTTGAGTCATATCTACATGATGTGGTGAGTTAAGAATATTGGTGGGATTTATGGGGAAAGAAAGTTGGCGGACTGACATCTGTATGATTTTTGAATCAAGGACTTTGTTGACCACCTACTTTGGGCAAGATGCTGCTTCCCTGAGTAAGCCACTGCTCTGCAGGCCTTTTTACACAGTGTAGGAGTAAGCATCTTGCTGCTACTGAAAATCCTTTCTTGTTTAAAATAACACCCAGCTCAGCTTTGCATATTGTGTGTGCTCATGTGTTCAATAAATACTTTTTGAATGAAGGAAAATTCAGTGAGTAAGAAGGTTATTCATTCAAAAACATCTGTGTATGCCTGCAAAATGGAAAGGACAATGATGCAGGCATAATCAGCACACTGTAGGCAGCACCTTCTCACAAAGATCTCAAAGGAAGCCACTTCCAACGCTGAAATCTAAACAGGAGGTCTGGTTTAACCTGACAACCACGATCCTAGAACTTCTGTGACACTCCACTGAAGACTATGCTTATAATTTCCCAGATAACCTACTTCGTGCATCTATTTGAATATATCATTTTACATGGCTAATGTGTCTATAGATTTTTATTAAGGGAGAAAAGACTACTGAAAAACAGTGGAGAGTGATTTGAAAGGGGTCAGAGCAGTTTTCCTTTCTTCACTGTTAAAATCCCCTGCACTGGGAGGCAGTTAAATGTAAGCAACAGTTTCCTTCCCATCGTTATGTTGCTTGTAACATCGTTGTGTGTCTCCTTCAGTCACTGGTGAGCGAGCCACTTCACATTCCTACAGCAGCCTACCTGGCTGCTCACTCAGTCCCTGGAAGCAAGGACCATTTGCACACACATACAGGGAGGAAGGCATGTAGTATTGTTTTCCTTTCTCCTTTTAAGAGCTTCACTAGGAAAAACCACCAGGATAACTTAAAAAAAAATCTGCTACATCCCACATAATTGATACCGATGAAAAACATTTTAAAAATAGTTTTGCTATCCAAATTTGTAATCGCCTTATCTTCTCAACTTTTTTCTTGGCATGGAAGTTGAATATATTTGAAATAAACTGTAATGGGGAAACATTTGTCTAAAGCCCTGGGATATGTCAAGACTACTGAGCAAAAGCTCTCAGAAGCACCAGCTTTACATCACTTCCAGCAAGGCAGTCTAGAAAGGAGCAACCATTCCAGAGAGGACGCCCACCCGCTCGCACTCCCACACCAGCCCGACCCCGCATGCTATTTATCCGACTAAGTTTACATACACCAGAGAAGAGTTACAGTGCAATTAAACGCATCCACGAAGTCATAGGATATGAAGCACTTTGCAAATATTAACCTTCCCCTGAAGGGATCACCGTTTCCCATGAAGAAGCTGGTGCTGGGGAGAGGGAGGGAAGTCGGGAGGAGGACCGACCTACCGGGCTAGGACCGGGGGAGAGCAGGGATCTTCAGCAGCAGCTCCCTTGGGTCGGTGCCCTGAAGCGCTCAAAAGAGGGAAGCCGCAGAGCAGAGCCCCCCAAGTTGAAGTGACTGGAGTTCCGGCTGAGGGTAGCTCGCTGCGCGCCAGGAACGGCCAGGTAGAGGCATCCGCAGGAGGCTGGGCGCTCCTTCCTCGCCTCCCCAAAGCAAGGCTGCCGCCCAAGTTCCAGGAGCAGGACTCAGAGCGCCAGCCAGCAGCCAAAGCGACCTCGTGCACCTCTGAGTAATAACAATGTGACCACCCCTCGATGGCATCCAACTCC